CACACACACACACACACACACACACACACGTACACACTCACACACCTGAGGAGATTTGGGGCCCAGACGATGGCCAGGTTTCTGGCATGCATATTGGTTTGAGAGGCGAATGTGGACATCTTGACCAGATGACGCATCAAATACTCCAGAGTCCTGGAAAACCATAAGCGTTAAGAGAATACAGTTAAACTAGATGCTAAATTCTATGTAATTCAAGTACTTCAAGTACTATGTAATTCAAGTACTATGTAAATACATATGCATATCTCTTTATTTATACAGCTGTATATAGAGCAAATAATGCACAAATCTGTACATAAATCTTCTGTTCCAGATTCATACACATTATTATTAGTTATTGTAAAGTCTTATTTAATGTTTTCTGTTCTCATGTCAGATATGTATGAATGTATGTACCAAGAGCACCTTAACCCTCTGGAGCTCCTTATTTGGGAGTCACACTTGCGGTCTTCATGGTCAAAAGTGACTGGACATCTGCAATTTTGCAGATGCCCCCCCAGTCAAATCAATGTAATGTATTTTTGTTCAGTTGTAGATTTGGATATATATTTAGACATTTTCAAAGACAATTAATTTGTAAAGGTTTATATATTTTTTTTAAATGTTGATTTGAAGCGTCAGTTTTTGAATTATTATTACTACAGTCATACCTGAACACAGAGAAAGCAATTTGTTACACAAAACATTAAAATTCTATAAAAATGTAACAAAAATGAACAGAAATGTTTTATCAGAGCTTAATCCTTCTGGGTCTGATCTGATTCCAACCTCTTATATCAGTTTTCTGACTCATTTGGCTATATGGTTATAGCCATACCAATTCATTTGAGTGTGTATAATTGTGTGTGTCTGTGAGTGTGTGTGTGAGTGGATGTGTCTGTTTTGCACTCTTGATGTTTTAGAGTGTAACCCCTTCCTTGCTGTCCACTTTTTTTACTGCATTGTACTTGAATTATTGCTTTTATTTGACATATTTGCTGTGTTACAGTCCCACCAGTTCATAGGTGTGTGTGTACAAGTGTGTGAGTGGATGTGTTGGTTTTGCACTCTTGATGTTTTAGAGTTTCACCCCGTCATTGCGGTGTACTTTTTTTCTGCATTGTGGCAGATTTGTAGATTGTACACACACAATTTTTTTGTCGATTTCCCATTCATTTCCTTATGGACAGTCATTTTTGACCAAAGACCACAAGTTTGACAATTTGTTTTACGACCACTTAGCCTGCTCGAATCATGCCCTACCTATGTAATTCAAGTACTTCAAGTACTATGTAATTCAAGTACTATGTAAATACATATGCATATCTCTTTATTTATACAGCTGTATATAGAGCAAATAATGCACAAATCTGTACATAAATCTTCTGTTCCAGATTCATACACATTATTATTAGTTATTGTAAAGTCTTATTTAATGTTTTCTGTTCTCATGTCAGATATGTATGAATGTATGTACCAAGAGCACCTTAACCCTCTGGAGCTCCTTATTTGGGAGTCACACTTGCGGTCTTCATGGTCAAAAGTGACTGGACATCTGCAATTTTGCAGATGCCCCCCCAGTCAAATCAATGTAATGTATTTTTGTTCAGTTGTAGATTTGGATATATATTTAGACATTTTCAAAGACAATTAATTTGTAAAGGTTTATATATTTTTTTTAAATGTTGATTTGAAGCGTCAGTTTTTGAATTATTATTACTACAGTCATACCTGAACACAGAGAAAGCAATTTGTTACACAAAACATTAAAATTCTATAAAAATGTAACAAAAATGAACAGAAATGTTTTATCAGAGCTTAATCCTTCTGGGTCTGATCTGATTCCAACCTCTTATATCAGTTTTCTGACTCATTTGGCTATATGGTTATAGCCATACCAATTCATTTGAGTGTGTATAATTGTGTGTGTCTGTGAGTGTGTGTGTGAGTGGATGTGTCTGTTTTGCACTCTTGATGTTTTAGAGTGTAACCCCTTCCTTGCTGTCCACTTTTTTTACTGCATTGTACTTGAATTATTGCTTTTATTTTACATATTTGCTGTGTTACAGTCCCACCAGTTCATAGGTGTGTGTGTGTGTACAAGTGTGTGAGTGGATGTGTTGGTTTTGCACTCTTGATGTTTTAGAGTTTCACCCCGTCATTGCGGTGTACTTTTTTTCTGCATTGTGGCAGATTTGTAGATTGTACACACACAATTTTTTTGTCGATTTCCCATTCATTTCCTTATGGACAGTCATTTTTGACCAAAGACCACAAGTTTGACAATTTGTTTTACGACCACTTAGCCTGCTCGAATCATGCCCTACTTTTTTTTGTGTTCTCTCATTCCAAATGCCATAACAGTCACCAAGTTCCGCACGATTCCGATGAAGCTGTGATTTTTTAAAATTCAAAACTTCAAAATATTTTCTAATATGTGACCCTGGAGCACAAAAGCAGTGTTAAGTCGCTGGGGGATATTTGTAGCAATAGCCAACAATACATTTTATGGGTCACAATTATAGATTTCTCTTTTATGTCAAAAATCATTAGGATATTAAGTAAAGATCATGTTCCATGAAGATATTTTGTAAATTTCCTACCATAAATATATCAAAACTTAATGTTTGATTAGTAATATGCATTGCTAAGAACTTCATTTGGACAACTTTAAAGATGATTTTCTCAATATTTAGATTTTTTTGCATCCCCACATTATACAGATTTTTAAATAGTTTTAAACCTATCCTAACAAACCATACATCAATGGAAAGCTCATTTATTCTGCTTTCAGATGATGTATAAATCTCAATTATAATTGGTTTTGTGGTCCAGGGTCACAAATAAGTTTGTGTGAATCTCATCTGATATCATTAAATATTGACATTTTATTTGGGAAACAAAATGCATGTTGATCAACATCGACCGTATTCATTTGCAGACTTTAAAGCACACATTTGTACATGATGCACTGGCAAGCAGAGGGAGAGACGCAGACTCACGGCGAAGCGGTCGTACAGCTCGTATGTGAGCAGAGGGTTGGGCAGCTCTCTGAAATACGCCTTGCACAGAGAGCTGACGCAGTGAATGTCCTGCAGATACAGGTCCTTATAAAGGTCAGGAGATCCTTCACTGTCGAACTCACCCCTGCACACACACACACACTCACACTCACACACACACAATCACACACACACACACACACAGATACACACACACACACACTCACACTCAGACACACACACACACACACACACACACACAGACACACACACACACAGACACACACACACACAGACACACACACACACAGACACACACACACACAGACACACACACACACAGACACACACACACACAGACACACACACACACAGACACACACACACACAGACACACACACACACAGACACACACACACACACTCACACTCAGACACACACACACACACACACACACACACACACAGTCTGTAAACAAAGTCTGTAAACAATCTGATTTTTAGTAGCTGCATGAAGTCAGTCCTCCTCAACTGTTATTTTAGTATCACTGATATCCTCTATTTGCCATGATGTAAACAAACCAACAATAAATGATGGGCATACACACATAATAAACCACAGAATATAGAATATAATAAACCATCAATAAATATGTGAATAAAAAAGAAAATAGAATAGATGTTTATGAAAAATATACAAAACTATACACTGTATACAAAGTGTGTACAGTGTGCAAATTATTAGTTTTCCTCTTTCCCCACTGCAATATTTGTAATAATATACTATAATAATACTAATAATGCTATTATGGTTTTTATTAATATTCTGAATGATTTACTTTGACATTTTCTGTTTAAATTTTAGTTAGTTTTAGTAATTTTGTTTTTGTGATACTTATTAGTTTTTTTTATGTAGTTTTTATCAACTTTTATTTCAGTTTCACTTTTAGTAATTTTAGTACTTCAAGTTAAATTAAAAGAGAATGAGAAATGTTGCCTTTGCAAGAAGCTGAAACAAAATAATTTATTTTTATTTTTTAGATTTATTTATTTTTAAGTTTATCAATTCAATTTTTTTAATCGATTGACAGCACTAATATATATATATATATATTTTTTTTTTATTAGGGATTTTTTTATTATTTTAGTACTTCAGGTTAAACAAAATGAACATGAGAAATGTTGCCTTGAAGTAAAATAAGGACAGAAAAATATTAAATGATATGAAAATATTATGGTTTTAATCATAGTTAATAACCCTGTTTCACACACCGTAGTTTCTGTGTGTTGGACGACACTCCAGACAGTCTGTAGATCCCGTCGACGACCCCATGTTTCTCAATGAACTCACTACAGTTGCGTAACACTAGAGGAACTGCTCACGTGAGAGAAAGAAAGAGTTTGATATCATAAAAGCAGAAAAACACATCACAACTCGTGTGTGAGTGTGTGTTTGTGTGTGTGTGAGAGTGTGTGTGTGTGTGAGAGAGAGA